AACTGCTACAGCCCCCACCTCCTTAGCCGGCCCCAAAACCTAGGCAGGTAATCTTAACTTATTCTGTGCTTGCGTTACCTCTGCTGACACCTTTTTGGACAGGGTTACCTTCCTGGTGAGGAGACCCAAATCTTCATTCCTGCAGGGGTTGAGTCCTCGGCTGCTGCAATCATTTGAACATCGTCCCCACCAAAACTCATTTTGAAGCTTGGTCCCAGTGTAATCGTGTTGAGAAGGGGTGGGACATTTAAGGGGTGTTTGAGTCATAAGGGAGCCACCCTCATGAAGAGATTAGTGCAGGAGTATGTGAGTTCTTCTTCTTGTGAGACTCGATTAATTACTGCAGGTACCCGTTATTACAAAGTGAGGCTGCCTCTGGCCTGGTGCTCTTTTCTCCTTCCGCTTTTCTGCCATGCTTGGAGCAGCTCAAGGCCCCCACCAAATGTGGCCGTCCATTTTGGACTTCTCAGCCTCCAGAACCATGAGATAAATAAGCCTCTTTCCTTTATAATCTACCCAGTTGGACTATGACAGGTGTTTTGTTATAACAATGGAAAACAGACTCAGACAATTGCATAGTATTGAGGGGTCGCTGCAGTTTTCCACTGACTAGGACCGTTGGACTAGGTGTGCTCCAGTGATGTCTCTGATTTCAGACACTGTCTTCCTCGCCCCTTTTCCACAGCAGCAATCCAGTTTCATCCTGTGATCAGGATCCATCCTCTACCTGCTGTCATAGCCCCTCTCTTGGCCTCTTGGTCTCCAGCATTCAGAGCCCCAAATGAGCAGGAGTGGCTTTAACTTCCGATTCATCAGAATCATGACTGTGTTTTCTGTAACAGCATTTCTTTTCTAGGCCCCCGGACTGCCAGGGTCAAGGTTGTGAGATGATGGGTGACAGAGCAGAAGCATCACCATCTTGGACAAGCACCACCATTCTAAAGTGCACCTAGATCAAAAACTGCCTAAACCCAAGGGCATCAGCCTAATGACTAAGGTCAGCATGACCATAAACCACAAATAACATCTCTGACCAGAAACATTCCAAACCACACCCCCCACCACCCAGAGACATGCCAGCCCCGAGATAACGTCCCCTCTGGAAAGATGTCAGCCCCAAGATAACCTCCTCTTAGACCAGAGATATTCCAGCTTTTCCACGACAAACTTCTCCCCAATACAGAATCATTCTGAGCTTATAAGCCCCCTCGCCCTAAAACCAATATATACTCTTAGTCTGTAAGAGAAAGTGCTCCTGACCAAAATCGGCCAGAAGCCCCTCTCAGGTTTATTTTCTCTAAAATAAATCTGTTGTTCACTGTTGAGCTGCCTTGCATGTTTCTTCCTTCTTTCTTTAACTCTTACAATGGGAAGCAAACTTTTTTTAGTGAGTTATTGGGAATAATAGTGAAAAGCATAATTCTCATCCCCAGGCCTTGCTTCTTGGACCCACACATCTCACCTGCAGGGAAGATGGAACCAATCGCCAGTGGTTTAATGAGCAAGATGTGTCTCCAGTCCCAGTGGTAGAAATCCTATAGGCAAGACTCCATCCATTGCCTGACTTCCACTTGTCCCTACGCTGACTGGGAACCTTGTGAGTAAGTAGTTTAGGTCTCTGAGAATCAGTAAAGCTCAGAGCAAGATTTAATAACCCCTGGAAGGTGTGGATATTTCTATTTCCCCAGGGTCAGAGGCATATACCCAGCCCATCTTTCTTCTTAGACA